CTCGGCATCTAAAAATATAAGCGCAGCATGGATTTGGTTATTCTTTCCCAAATATTCCAGTATATTCACAATTTGTCTTACATTACTTGTCATTTGTCTCCCTTGAATAAAACCTGTTTGATCAAAATTTCCCACGCTTCTTGAGTTGTTTTCCCTTTGAGGATTCTCATCCATGGAATCCTTCCCAAGCTCTCTCTAACTTTATTGAAATTAGCTCTCTTAAAATCCAATACTCTAGTTTGTTCTACTACTTGGGTTTGCATAACGTTGAATTCCAGTATTGCATGATCGCTTGCCTCCAAGGTTCCTGTAGCTTCAATACCTTCTATCATTTCCTCTCTGTTAGTGAGAATTAAGTCCAATATGGCTGATTCCCTTGTTCCCTTCTCTACCTTTGTTCCTTGTTCCATTACTATTCCATACATTCAGAACAAAATAGACACACACCTTTTGTCAAGCCAAAAGTCAACTTGCAACAGATCTTTATTGCTAAATCTGCTTTGGATTACAACACATATAAATAGCACACTTTAATACCAATTGAATAAATAATATGGCTTATACTATACTAATGGTTTTCAAATTGACAAACCACTGTGTAAATTTCAACTAGCTGGGGAATTGTGGGAATTGAAGTCTACACATCTTAAAGTTGCCAAGTTGGGAAAACGCTGACTTACACTCTTACAAATGTTGTACTTTAGTAAGAAAACAATCATGAAAATAAAAACGACCTTTTGATGCTCACATTTTGATTTTATCACCCATTAAACCTCAGCAACAGGGTTTAATGCAGTCTATTCTTTTGTATAAGCTTATCAGCTGCTTGATGTCACTTGAAATTGTAAAAGGAATTACATTTATTGTAATGAATCGGCCCCAATGAATCAGAGCTTTTCTAACAATGTCTGATGTAATGATCTAAGAATCCTTCTTTAATATATGTTCTATGTTGATGAATTTTAATCTTCTTGCTATGTCCAATGGAGTCTCTCCATCCTGAAATAAAGAGATAAAATGAACAAAGGTGAAAATAATGAATGAAGAAAGCATCAACATAGATAAAATCTAACTTGGCCAACCCAAAGGTGCTTTTTCAAGAGGCAACTGGACTTTCTTGTTTTTCTTTGAAGACATCTCGCTTTTCATCCAAGAAGCTTCTTCAATTCTGACAGGATAGTGTCTTTCCATCCTTCCATTCTCCACCATCCAGTCAGAGCTGGATG